GCCTCAAACTTGAAGCGATCCTCCTGCTTCAGCCTTCGAGGGCTGGGATTACAGGTGTGCCTCACCATAGCCAGCTATATCTGTTAAGTACATCATACAAATGGAATTATATAATACTTGTCCTTTGTGTCTGGCTTATTTCATTTAGCATAATGTCTACAACTGTTTATCCATGTTGTAGCACAAATCAGAATTTCATTCTTTTTAAAGGCTATATTCATATTTATATTATATTTTGTTGTATGTATATACAAGTTGACTATCCCGTATCTGAAATAATTGAGTGCAGAAGTATTTGAACTCAGAGTTTTTTATATTTGGGGATATTTACACAGACTTTATAAGTTAAGTATCACTAGTTGAAAAGTGTGAAATTGGAAATGCTATAAAATCTGAAGCTTTTTGAATACTATGTCAGTGCACAAAAAGCTTTGTACTTTGGAGCAGTTCGATTTCACAGCATTTTGGATTTTGGATCAAGGATGCTAAACTTGTACATTTTATTTATCCAGTCATTTGCTAATAGAAAATTGGGACATTTCTGCCTTCTGGCTATTAAGAATACTACTATAAACATCGATGTGTAAGTGTCTGTTTAGGTTCTTGTTTTAAATTTTTTTAGTACATACCTAGAGGCAGAATTGCTGGATCACATGGTAATTCTATGTTCAACATTTTAAACTGGGTGTGGTGGCACACGCCTGTAACCCTAGCACTTGGGAGGCTGAGGCAGGAGGACCACCATGAGTTCAAGGCCAGCTTAGGCTACATAGTAAGTTCAAGGCCAGCCTGAACTGCATAGTGGAACCCTGTCTCAAAAAGAGAAAAACTAACCAACCAACCAAACAAACAAACAACAAAAACCCCCATACGTTTTGAGGAATATCCAAACTAGCTTCCTATTTTTTTATACAATTCTCTGTTGAAATTATCCATTGTTTTATTTATTTCTTCTACCAGTTCTGTTTAGTTGAACATGAAATCCTTTTTGAATGACTGTATTATCCAAATCATTTGTGGATTTACTTTTAGTGTCCCTGTCAATCTCTTGGATTTTCGTCATGTAATCTTGTCTTTTGGCATTCCCTGTGATTTTTTTTTGTTTTGTTTTGTTTTACGCAATGGATCCAGAGAGCTTCCCTTTCCTCTAGAAGGCAGACATTATGGTAGTTGATCATCTTAACTCAATTATGAGCTGTGTTGAGTGGAAACCAGGTAGTAGCTCTGGAAAAGTTCCAGCTATTTTGGCTTATCCTCATGCCAAGGGCATATTCCTCAGGGCATCTAACTGAAAATCTGTACTCATAACTTTAATCTGTATCTTATAAAACCACTAAAATATAAAATGTCCATTTTCCTTTCCTTTTTCTTTTCTTTTCTTTTCTTTCTTTTTTCCCCCAGCAGCTGGGGATTGAATCCAGGGCCTTGTACATGCCAGCCAAGTTACTGAGCTATATTTCCAGTGGCTCTGCCTTTCAATGAAATTTTAGCTTCTCATTCTCCTGGACCCCAGGAATTGGCAGGTACTGTCATGGGATAACTGGTGGTGTGCATGAGGTAGCCTTAGTTTTCTACAAGGGCTCTGCCAGTTACTTGTCCCCAGCAACAGCTCTGAGGCAGTATATAGTTCAGCATTACTTAATAACTGGGATATTTCTGAAAAATGCACAGTTAGGTGATTTCCTCATTGTGCTAACATCGTAGAATAAATTTACACAAACCTAGATGATATAACCTGCTAAACACAGAGGCTTTATGTCATATATCATCATATATATGTGCAGCTGTTGACCAAAAAGTCCTTATGTGGTGTGTGATTATAGTTCTGCTACACACACACACACACACACACACACACACACACCCTTTGTTTTTTTTGTTATTTGAGACAGGATTTTGCTATGTACATCAGGTCAGCCTTAAACTCACTATGTAGTCCAGGCTTGAACTCATGGCAATCCTCCTGCCTCACACTCTTAAGTACTGGGACTACAGGTACGCACTATCACACCTGGCCTTCTCTGACCTTTTTGCCCATGCTCAGAATTCGCAAATTTACACAGGGTAAAAGAGATTACAAAACTCAGTTCACCATTCTGAAATTCTTTTAGTTCACATTTACTCCTGGGGTTCAGGGTCTCATCCCAAGAGAATAGTGTACCAGGTTTCCCACCTTTGATTGGACTAGGACTAGATTTTTATTTGCCTACCCCACAAAACTGTGTATTCTGGGGAATACATCTCCAGGCAAAAGCAGCCACAGAAACTAAGCTCACTGGTCTCAAATTTCATCATCTCCCAAATCTTGATCAAATTATTATTCTTCACTGTCATGTTAGGTCTTTAGATATACTTTTAAAATACCTTTTTCTGGTTAGTTCTAATCCCATAATTCCTATACATAGTATTATCTTGCCATACTGTCCTTCATACTACGGGTTATGGTAGGTTTACAAAACATAGTTCCAAATGCAGAGTAACTGCAATTGTTTCCAAAACCAGCCTTAGAAAAATGATGTATGTTAGACTTAGAAAGCTTTTTCATTATTTTCAAGTTTTAGTAAGATAAGTATCAAATTATACTATAATTAGGTTGTTTCCATTTCTTATAAATTAAAAGGAAATTAAATCAAAGTGAAAAATGAGGCACTTCAACTATAATTCACTTACGAGAGGATATGTACTAATATGTGCCTTATACTTTGTATTAAATATCAATACAAGATACTTACAATCATATCCATTTAGTTTTGGCTTAATCTCTTAGAAAGTATTTCTAAAATCCTAGATGATGCTAACAGATCTTCCGGGAAAGGGGGAGCGTGTGGATGTATTTTTTCCATTCAAGTGCAGATATGTAATACACATTACCATATTAGGGACAATGAAAAGTCTCCAGTTAAGTCAGCAATTTTTTTTTTTGTGTGTGTGTGTGTGTCTAACCCTTTGTTTCCAGATATATCTGACCAGGAAAATATTCTATCCATGGACTTTTTTTCCTTACTACTGGGGCTCTAACCCAGGGCCTTCTACATGCTCTTTTGGAAGGGAATAAACACTTGAAATAGTTTTGGTAAACTGTATGTTATTATAATTGATTATGGAACTCCCATTCCTTTCTTCTTCACTGGAGGTGACCAGGTAAGTTTTGCAGCTTTTTTGTTAGCTTTATTGGATGGTAACTTCCTCTGTTAGTCCCTTCTGACATAGGCTAACAGGAGGAATATGAACTTTACATAGAGACAGAATTGGGTCAAATTCAGGCTCCATCATCTCTTTTTCTGGGTCATATTTCTGCACTTATAAAAAGGGCTTGAGGGGTTTCACAGTATTTAAAATAATACTATGAACTAGTAAATGAACATGTAAAGTACCTAGTACATGAACTGGTCCCAAAGCCTTCTCCTACCTTAAAATTCCTCAAGAATTTGGAATGGAGCTGGGAGTCATGGCACGCGCCTATAATCCCAACACTCAGGAGGCTGAGGCAGGAAAATCGCTGCAAATTCAAGACCAGCCTGGGCTACAAAGTAAGCTTAAGGCCAGCCTGAACTGCATAGCCAGACTCTGTTGCAAAAAGACAGAAAAAAATTTGGAATGGCCAATTGAAACAGATGTGTTACTGTTATCTTTAAATCTTGATTTGGGACCCTCCTTTACTAATTCATTCCTGCTTCTTTTATTAGTGATTCCGCCTTACCCCATTTAGGAAACTATAACATTCCTGAATAGTATTTTGTTTTTGTTTTTAATGCTGACTGATGGAACACCTAGTGTTAAACCGGTTTTTATTATCTTAGAATTCTAGGAACGCTCAGGTCATCCTGTATGTTCCTGAAATACTTCCCATCACAGTATTTCTTTTACTGTGATTACTCATTTTCCTCCTTACACCACTGTAAGTTCTATAAGGTCAAGAGTTCTTGTTCCCTTGGAATATATACATACCTACCCAAAGTGGCATGGGTAAAGGCACATTCAATACATTTAGAATTTTAATAATCTATAATCACTGGAATCCCCAAAACATTATTATTAAAAATATAATCTAAGCCAGGTACCATGTCACATACCTGCAATCTCAGCTGGTCAGGAGGGTGAGGCAAAAGGATAGCAAGTTTGAGGCCACTTAGCAAGACCCTATCTCAAAACAAAAAATAAAAAATAAAAAGTAAAGGGCTAGAGATGCAGCCCAGTGGTAGTATGCTTGCCTCACATGTATAAGGCCCTGGGTTCAATCCCTAGAACCAAGACAAACCAACAAAAACTATACATACATACATATATATAATTCTATGGGCTGGGGGTGTCGCTCAGTAGTTGAGCTTAGTATGCCAGGTCCTGGGTTAAGCTCCAGCACCACGAAACAGAACAAAATGAATATATTCTAAATAAATAATATAAACTACTTTATCTAAGAATTGTTTTACTATTTATATTAGAAGCTGTTGATAGAAAAAAAGGAGTTTAAATTTACTTAAAATCCTAACACAGTTAAAATATATAAGTGCCATGGAACCAACAATTACTGATAAAAATCTTTGACTAACTATGATTTTCCTGATATATAAAATCAATAGGAGAGAAAAATGCATAGTAAATGTATGCTTTTAATATAAAATGTAGTATTCGAGAATGACTCCATTTATTCAAAAGACATGTTCCAGAAAACTTATCGATAATACTTCTATATCCTCAACATTAAAAACTCACCTGATTAGAATAAACTGAGCTCAAATATATCTGAAAACCAAAATCTCTCTGTGTGATGAGGATGCTCTCACATTAACTTATTTGCAGTATATAGTATTTACATTTTTGTGTACTGGATATTTCAAGGTGAGGAATACTCCTAACTTAGTCATATCAAAAAGTCCAGATGTTCAGCACAATGTTCATGCGAAATTAACTTTTATTTTTGAAAATAATTGTTAGTAAATAGTTAAGTAGTAAATATAGTGTGTTAAAAAGAGGCTTTTCAGAAAATTAAAAATACTTACTATTATTTTCTTACAGTCCTTTCCTCTGCATAGCTCTGTATAGGTAGAATACTGCACATATATAATCCAGCTTCCAACAAAAACCACCAACCAGGAAAAGAAAAGGTATTTCATCCGAACATATGAGAAGCGAGCCTGGGAGTAAAAGAGCACATAACAATCATTCATTCAGCACCAAGTCAGCATTCACTGTCCTAGACTGTGATTTTCCCCCTTTCTTAGAGTAACGCAGTATATGCTAGGCTTTCATATGGCAATTTTGGAACAAAGTGCACTTTCACCAAGACCAAACAGCACTGGCCTTAGAAAAGGAAGTTCCTTGGTCCTGCCAAGGAAAAAAAGGAACAAAATATCCTTTAAGATGTATAAACTTTCAAACGCCACCACCATCAAAAGCTACTTATTAAGCACAAGCACAACTACCATGCTACAGTGTAAGATTAGGTAAAGAGAGATACAATCCATTTACTAGGAGCTTACAAAAGACTCTCTTAGACAAGAATTTTAAAGATCTTTATGAATAATCATGTTAAATTTTTTTTTAAAGAAATAAGAACAAAGAATCTGGTTATTTTTCTAATGTCCCACGGTGAAAACCAGAATAAGAAATCAAATTCCACAGTCGTTCCCATTTCCCTACTGTATGCACCAGTGCGTTAGGTTCCTTCTCTTCAGGCAACCAAATGACTGGAGAAGAATGAAGATCTACTAAGAATAAATTATAACACTCCGTTGTGCATAGTGGCCATGCCTGTAATTCCAGTTTGGAAGGCGGAGGTAGGAGGATTGCAAGTTCAAGTTCAGCCTGAGCAATTTAGCCACTTGGTGGTTTGAAATTAAAAAATAAAATAAAAAGGGCTGGGGATGTGGCTCAGTGGTAGAGCACCCTGGCTTTGGTCCCATGATGGAAAAACATAAGTAAATTATTGCCTGCACGTCAACTTGCAAAGCCACCCAATAGGATCCTCTTTGCATTGTTTTGCTTCCAGTGTTTTGACATCTAATTGCAACTTGGTCCATCAACTGATATCAAACGGTTTAATCTTCAAAAGTGACAGTTCAACACAATTTGACATTCATTTTTTGGGTCTGGATAGCCAATGGTCTGATTTTACGAACAGTAATACTGAGAACTATGGAGAGAATTGAGCAGAATAAATTAAAGATGCATAAACAAACAATCAAAAGCTACTTTTGCTTTTACAATCATGAGCCAGTTTCTCACACTGGGAAACAGTGGGATACTGTGAGCGCTGTGAGCAGGCAAAGAAAGCAGAGAGATGAAAGCGCCGTAAGTGCACCTGCAGAAAACAATGAGTGGAAGGGAAGAGAGACTCAGGAAATACTGAATCCTTTTGGCCCTCTCTGAGGTTTAGATATGTCTTTGTGAGGTTAACAGATGGTGAATCCCAAAAGCTTGAGTACAACGAGCTCACAGTTACATGCCAGGCCTTTGAGCTTTATTAAATATGTAGACGGCGTTTAATGCAAAACATTTTAGGGTAGCTCTAAATGAATCTAATAAAAGAAAAATTCAGACACACATGAAAGCAAATAAATGACAATGGGATATATGCTGAGCGGTTTGTTTGAGAGACATTTAAGATTATTTGGCTCTAAGAAGAGGTCTAGTCCTCACGTAGAAATCGGTTTGTACCGGTATTATGAGGTTTAGATGAAATGACACCAGCACATTGAGCACAAGCACACTGCCAGGCACATAGTAAATATTCAACGAATGTTAGCTAAGTCAATTTGCAAGTCACTAACTCGGACGTCAACAATGCTGTCATTGGCTGTTGCTTTCTTTATGGACTTGCCAAAAAGAAAACCAAATCTGAATGTGATCAAGCCTCTAGCTGCAGCTACCAGCTTACAGGACACAGTGGAGAGAGACACAGGTGACACTCAAGTAAGTGACACTCTGAGGCAAGGTCTAGGCTGTGGGAAACTTTGCAGTACAAGCAACTCAGTGTCTTCAACAAAATACAACTGGAAAAGAGAGGAAGGGGAAACCTAAGGATTTAGAAAACATTTAAGGAATATGTCAATCATAAACTGAATCTTTTTGGAGTCCTGACTCATATGAAAAACAGTAAAACAGGACATTTGTGAGACAACTGAAAATTTTAAGAATGACAGAATACTTCATGATATTAAGAGATTGTTGTAGTTTTTAAAGTGTGATCACAGTTCTGTGGTGATATTTAAATATTTTGGTTTTCCCTGTCTCTCAGTGGGGTACATTTTTCCATTTCCTCTAGCATACACTTAAACTGACGAACACCCTGCAAGCTAACTCGCCTGATGAGTATTGGTTATGGCACAGAAAGCCAAAAACTGTGTAAAGGAAGTCAGATTAATGATGTTCCCAGCAAGGTGCTGGGAACCACCTGTTGTAGACATAATGACAAACAGGGAACACATTATTGCAGCATGCCATGGAAAATCACTGTGCTCTGGGGGGTAACACAGAATAGTATAGGGACATTGACTTGTTCTTTAATGTCTGCAGATCCTGTGGCCTTCCTTACATTTTAAAATAATGACTAAAGAAAGAAACAGCCAGCTATAACTATTAACTAATTTTGTTTCTCCCATGTAGCATTCACTAAAATGCATCTAGTGGTCTGTTCTATACCAATCACCTAGACAATCTAGTCTTTCATTAAGAAATATAGTCTGACATTTCTGTTATGCTGAACTATCCAAAATTACTGCCTAGTAGCTTTTTTATTTTGCTGATTTTGTGCTTAGCTACTAATGGTAGACTGCTCTATGCCAAAGTACGCTCCTGAAAAGCATGAGAACAATTTCAGTAAATACGCCAGGGCAGTGATTCTCAACCAGAGTCGATTTTGTTCCCCAGTGAGGCATTTCTGCCTCAACTAGGAATTACTACTAGAGGCCAGAGATGCTGCCAACCAACCCCCAACAGCAAAGTGTGACTAAGTCCAGAAGGTCAATGGCTCTGTTTAAGAAACTCTGTATTACTGTTATGCAGTAAAATGAAAATAAAAATTACGGGGTTGAAATAATCAAATTTGTAAGGCACTATCATTATACTTTAAGCTAGCCTTTAATGACCAAGTGTAATTTAAAAAATAGTCTACCATCTGTCTAGAAACAACAGAACTACATAGTTTTCTATGACTAAATTATTATAAATCTTTTATTATAAATAAAGAAAAATCACTGGAGATGGAAAATATGCATACGATAAAACAAAGTTCCACTTTTATCAGTTCTACCTTTTATGGTTTTTTGAAACAGATGCTTGCATTTAATCTTGGCTGAGCCTAAGTAATTCTCCTGCCTCAGCCTCCTGAATGCTGGAATTACAGATATGAGCCACCATGCCAACTTTTCTTCTTTTTAAATATTGTCTCAACTCACTGTGATAACTTACTTCAGAACAAAGCTAAAAATCTTTTATTTTGTTTATATAATTTACATTAAGCTTTGAAAATAGGCAGAGATAACACTCCCAAATTTCACTTAAAACTATTTCTATTACCTGTTTCTTACATTCAATATCTTCCATAAACATGTAAAACATAACCCCTAAGTACTACCTACATAACTGTTCCTAATTTGGAGAATTGGGGAAGAAAAATATTTATCATATCTTTACTTTTGTCCATAAGCATTTTGCTTAAATATTTATATTTATAGTAGTAACACTTATGAAAAGCTTGCTGGCTATAAAAAATAGACAGGAGGAAACCATTTAATAGGGCAGATGTTTTCTGTATGCCATAATAACTGCAAGTAAACTTTATTTAGAACAGATCCTGGTACCCTTACTTTAAGAGCCCTTACTGCCAGTTGAGAGCTACTGGAACACCAACCACTAAGAAGCTCTGAATGCATCAAACTTAAACTGGCCTAATGACAGTTTTCACAAACATCGAAAAAGAGCTATGATATGCAGTCAAAAAAACCTTATAAAGACTCTCATGTCATCCCAAATGAGAAAAACAGTGTTTTAGCCAGGTGTGGTGGCACACACCTGTAACCCCAGCACTCAGGAGGCTGAGGCAGGAGGATCATTGTAAGTTCAAGACCAGCCTGGGCTAAAAGTGAGCTCAAGGCCAGCCTGAACTGCATAGCAAGACCCTATCTCAAAAAGACAAAAAGACAAAAAAAAAAAAAAAAGAAAGAAAAGAAAAGAAAAACAGTGTTTTAAAAATTTAAAATAGTGGGCCAAGAATGGTGGTACACTGTGATCCCAGCACTCACAAGGCTGAGGCAGGAGGATCACTGTGAGTTCAAGGTCAGCCTGAATTGCATAGTCTCTCTTAAAACAAACAAACAAACAAACAAACCAAACAATTAAAAACCTTAGGATAGTGAAAATAAAGGTCTTAAAAATATCTACTCCCAAGATTTTTCTTTGAAAAATTACTTTTTTTGTAATTGAAAAATTACTTTTTATGACAAAACTTCCAATAAGAATTCCTTGTTAAAAGATATTATGAGTAGGCATCCTCAATCTAAGATGGATTTTTATATTTATAGAAAGAATCTTAGTGTCTACCAATTCTAAATTCTGAAGACTCCATTTGTATGAACATACTCTGTTTTGATTTTGTGTGAACTCCTGAAATAAAATTTCAACAAAGATCCAAGGAGCAGATAATTCTCACATTTTCTCTGAATGTTAGTTTATATTATTCTTAAAGGCTGACAGTAGACAAAAATGCAAGAACACCTGGGGAATTATTTGCATAGGGTGAAAATCAAGCCTGTCTCTAGACTCAAGAGTGAAATATTATTTCAAAGAAGTGTCAAAATGTGGGAAAGTGCTTAGGATATATTAAGTGAAAAGAATTAGCTCTCAAAGCAGTTATGTTTGATAAGGCCAGGCATGGTGGTGCAGGCCTGTAATCCTAGCTGCTCAAGAGGCTGAGGCAGGAGGGTAGTAAATTAGAGGCCAATCTGGGCTACATAAAACACAAAAACAAAATTACTATGTTCCAAATTTTGCCTCCCCACAACCTCCCACCTCCCAGTACTGGAGACTGAACTCAAGGCCTTTACACGAGCTGCACCCCCAGCCCTTTTTTAATTTTTATTTTGAGGCAGAGTCTTGCTAAATTGCTGTTTCCCAGCAAGTTGGCCTGAACCTACCA